AACCCTAAACCCTAAAACCTCTACATTCAGGCATCTGCCGAATTGTCAAAAGTCTCGCTGGCAGCCCAGCCGCCTCGCTGTATTTAGGCCAGCTATTTGGGAGTTTCCGAAGATAAGGGGTACCTTACTTTGGGGTCCTTATAATAAGGTACCTTACGTTGGGGTCCTTATAATCAGGATCCCACTATTTTGGGGTACTGTATTAAGGTCCCCTATTTTCGGAAACCCCCATTTGGAGGCTTAATTACGCCGACACGACTCCTAGTTGCGTCGCTGCGGCAAGCGTGGATGCCGGCACGGTTCGCTGCCGAATGATCTGGCGAGATGAGTCCTGCGGCTCAGCATACTCAGATGCGACAAAGCTGACCAGGCTCTCTTGCGAGGTACTGGCAGTTGTGGATCTGTGCTCATTGGGCGCGGACTCCGCGGCGTGCGGCGCCGAACTTCGCGGCGGCAGCCTCGCCACGGCCACGGTCACCACTGCTAACAACATTATGACAGCTCCGAAGATCGTCGACATGTTCGGAACCTTGCGGAAGAGGAGGATGTCTGCTGCGTAGATCATGTTGGTTGCAGTGATCGCAGTTGCGCTGATGGCAGCAGGGCAGAGCTGCGATCCGATACCGTCAGATTGGAGACAAGCATGGCGACGAGGAGCACGAGCAAGAGTAAAACGGCAAAGCCTGGGGAGTCTGCCAAGACCTGCAACCCACCACTGTTCGCCGCTGGAATACATGCCAAAGTACAGCAGGTGACACAGCGGAAAGTCATGGAGGATGTAGTAAGCAGCATGGGAGAAGCAGACTTGGACTTGCGCGAGCTGATGAAGATGAAGCCGAGAGAGACGCCGGAGAGCAGGGCGAGGACATAGCCTAAGTAGGCAGAGGCCCCGCTCGCTGTGCCTTCACTCACCGTGGCTTTGGGGTCAGAAATCAGAACAGCGCCTGCCACCGAGAACAGCACGGCTAGGATATGTAGCTTGCCTAACGGCTCTCCCAGCACTACTCGCCCCAGGAGTGCCGCCACTACGGTGTTCACACTAGACAACACGCCGATGCTGCCCATCGGCGCACCCGCCAGGGCTGCACAAACGCTCAGGACGTTGTTGCTACTACCAAAGAGTCCACGTAAAAGGACCCATTTGATCTCCTTCCGTTCGCAGTGATAGGCGGCGATACCCTGCCGTGCAACCATCACAGCATTGAGACACAACACAATCACCAGCGAGCACAATCCTGCGAAGAAGAAGTACGGCCACTGCCAGCCCTGTAGTAACTTGGATAGCATCAAGTTCAATGTCGCGAAGCAGCCGCAAACGAAGACTGCCAAGATACCTTGCACCTCCGACGCCATGTTCGATCTACGGGTCGTCGCATTTGCGAACGATGTGAAGCTGAGCAGCTGGTACCGGAAGAGGTAATCGGAATGAACATGCTTTGAATCACAGAAACCGCAATGCCCATGAGCCGTGACAGAAACGAAGATGACGAGTACAACAGCGAAACCGATAAGGGCAATTCATCAATGAATGCCAAACCTATAACGACAAACCCACCTAAACCCTAAACCCTAAACCCTAAACCCTAAACCCTAAACCCTAAACCCCTAAACCCTAAACCCTAAACCCTAAACCATGCAACGAATACCCCAAGGCATCCTAAACCCAAGACTTCACGCATGGGAAGCTCGACCGAAGGCATCATTAAAACAAAAACACAGCTGTGGCTCATGAACCCGTCGTAAAAACTCCATAGAATCCTACCAACCCCTCATGCAAGCCCAAAAAGCCCTGATAAACCCCTGTAAAGCCTGTATAACGCCATGTAATCACCCTGGGATGCCTCGCTGACGACACGGTAGGCAAATGCAGCAGGTTGTGCCTCTTCTAAAGAGGTGATCTTTAGGGTTCAGGGTTAAGGGTTTGGCGGGTAGGAACCCTTAACCCCTGAACTTGAAAACCGCACTGTTTTCAGGGCGTTAACCCTTGCGGGTTTTCGGATTCAAGGTTTCATGGTTTCCGAACACATAAGGTCCAAGAGTCATGGTTCTTCGGAGAGGTTAGGCTTATTTAGGCTTCATAGACCCTTGATTGAATAAATGTTTCTGCAAGCCCCATCTATAAAGCTTTCTACAGTCCTTCGACCAATACGCATCTGCCACGTACTGCCGGGACTCAAGAGCACGACAAACATGCTTCCCCCCCATGTACTGGTGGAATTCAGGAGCACGGCCAAAAGGCCATCCCTGTGTCCTGGACGGATTCAGGACGTGACCAAAATGCTGTCCCCGAAGTACTGGAGGGAGCCAAATTATCGAAACTAAAATCAACACGGCACCACCTGCACAACGTCAAGACCCGCCGTGTCTATCGAGACGGTTGACATGTCGATGTCAGCATGAGGGCGATGCACTGGAATTTGCAATCCATCGCACTTACCGGGTGACGCGGATACCCCATGTATTCAACAACATTACGAAGTGCGAATCGTACGATTTCGCACAGCCAATATGCTGCCTCAATGTACTGGCAGGAATCAGACGGGATTCAGCAGCATGGCCAACATGCTGTTCTCATGTATATACTGGCGGGATTCGTAGACGTGACTGCAAACATTTCCGCGCACGGCACCACATGTGCAGCGCCATTCGCGTGAACGAACTTGACCCAACACGCTGCGGCCACGAGCGTTGCCAAATCCGAGAACGCATCGTCACGCCAGCAAGCGCAGGGCCATTTTACCGTGTGCGGCTGCGGTGACTCCTTCTAGCCTTCCATTAAATTAGGTTATAAGAGGTGAGGTAAGAGGCAATCTCGCGACAACCTAAAGGCCAAAAAACCTCACGAAAATCAATGACTGCAACCTCACGCTACGCCACCTCATCACCACATCGCGCCATGCAAACAACCTCGTCAACCCTTCGCAATGCTTTCGGCAAAAACCACGGCCGTCTTCCTAAAAACTTCCGCATCATACCTCTCACCTCTGCGAGCTCCAGAGCGAAGCCACGGGCATCAGCCTGGCAGCATCATCAACCGATTTTGGGTCTGTGGTTTAGGGTTTAGGGTTTAGGGTTTATGGTTTAGGGTTCAGTTGGTTTTCGCGTGGGTTAAAAAAACTCTAACTAAGGCGGAAAAAGCAGCAACAAGAAGCAGCAGCAAGAACAACAACAACCACAACCACAACCACCACAACCACAACGACAACGACAGATCTGAAAGAAAAGACGAGCAACATCACTCGCGCTTCAGAAATTTGGGGTTCGAAAAACTCTTGGAATCGAAGCAGCACGGATCTTTTCGCTGTGCGGCGTTGAAACACTGTCGTTTGAAGGCGCTAGAACTGGAATTTCTCTGCAAAATGCTTTCCCATGAGCCACCGAAAAGTTCGGCCAGGTTCAGCAGGAGTCGGGGTTTAAGGTTTAGGGCTTGGGGGTCAATATTACTATCATTGTGTAAGTAAGGATGGAAATCTGATACTGTTGCTGAGTCTTGGGAATAGGGCACAAACCATTAGGCTCACGCGGATAGCTCCGGGGGGCAGCTGGAACAGTTCTCTCTGCACCAAGACTGCACTGCACACAAAGACGCATTTTCGCGCGCCTTTAAAAGGGCAGCTCTCGCAATCAAGACAAGCCGTGTGTTTTCAGACTGCGCAACCATCGGTTTTGAGAACTACCCAGGCTGATCGCACAAAGTGATCTAATGTCAAAGTGAGACACCATGGTTCGGGTTTTGGGTTTGATTTGTGGCTCGCGGGGCATGTGACGTCTCAGACAACACGGACACACCACACAGACTGCAACAAGTGCTAAACAAATTGCCAAAGGCCCAGCCAACGACGATCAACAACAGCAATCACCAAGTATGACAGCTATCGACCTCGTCTGATGTTCATCCTTTACGGTCGTAGTTCTTGGAAAAAATCTCAACCTAAACAGCCTCTTGGAGGCAACCGCTGCTGCGGCACATGTTGCATTCGCAACATCGTGACGGTAAAACAAGGAAGGGGCTCTGGTACAAGAAGAGATGCCCATGTCAATGCTTGAGCTTCTTTGTCCTCTGCTCCCGGAATAAAAAACCGCCGATGGGTTCCAGTTCGGGGACCAGGGAAGACATTGGCTTCTTTTCCTGCCTCTGCTGAACTTGCTTCGGATGGATGGATGCACCATGCTGGGCCTTCAGCTCCTATTTCCGAACGCGACAGGCCAACTACTAAAAGGGCTCCTGCTCACTGACCCTCACAATGTTCCTCTCTGGCCTGCGCAGAAAAGCTGCATTTCATGAGATCGGGACTACTGCAGTATCGCCGACATCTTCAAGCGCTATCCCCATCATTGCTGTCGTGATGCGTGTGGCCGTTGCAACACTGCTCCGCCATGATAAACTTTGCATGTTGCGACTCCAATTAGTCATCCTGCTGGCGTGAATGATGGCATTGCCAGTCAGAGCCTACTAATTAGTGTGTGCTTCGTTTGTTTGGCTGTCGTTGCCTGGTGCTGCAACTGCGACTGCGCCTGCCGCTGCAATTGCAACTGCTACTACTGCTACGTTATTGCGACTGCTACCACTACTGAATTTACTCCTCCCTCCTCCTCCTCCTCCTCCTCCTCCTAGTCCTCGTCCTCGTCCTCGTCCTCGTCCTCCTCCTCCTCCTGCAACTCCGCCTGCTCCTCCTCCAACTGCTCCTCCTGCTCCTGCTCCTGCTCCTGCTCCTGGTCCTGGTCCTGCTCCTGCTCCTGCTCCTGCTCCTGCTCCTGCTCCTCCTCCTCCTCCTCCTCCTCCTCCTGCTCCTCCTCCTGCTCCTCCTCCTGCTCCTCCTCCTGCTCCTCCTCCTGCTCCTCCTCCTGCTCCTCCTCCTGCTCCTCCTGCTCCTCCTGCTCCTCCTGCTCCTCCTGCTCCTCCTGCTC